GTGTTTATCATTCCGACGTTCAGCTTCTGCCTTCTCTTTCCTCTTGTATATGTTTTGTTTCTTTCTAACTTCTCCCTTGAACGAAAAGTACTCCCAAACGCCAAGCCATCTACCTGAACCCATCTTCCCACCTTGCTCCACTGCTAGTATCTACTTTTGTTGGCAATTACAGGGAGGAAGAAATATATGCTATTTTAAGTGATCAATGGGAAGATACCGGTATGGGGGTTTTCTATGAATATAGTTGAGCATTTCCCCCTTCTATACGGTTTGTAGGGTTGAATCTGGGCAGCTACTTGGATTCTAGCCACTGGTCGGCAGTGCCCCCTATGCCTATGGCTCTGCCTCGGGTGGCTAGAAGATCAGTGCTCCAAGTGTTTTTTTATGGCTCTATCTCGGCGGTGCCCCCTGTTTGACACCACTATCTTTTTGCATTTAATTCTCCGACTTTCTGTTCTCCAAGTAATCATTGTTAAGACTGCATGTGGGAAGGAATATAATTTCTTGACGGGGAAGGTTGGGTTCCTCAAAAGGGGGTTGGGGTGCAGTCTGCACTAGGTTGTTCAACCCCTTGGATACGACGAAGTTTACACCTAATTAACAACTCTGCACTGAGTCAAGTAAAATTCATCCCCTGAAGATTTGTTTCTCAAAAGGCTCTGAATTTGCCGGTTGGGTTGAACGGCGATGGATTTGCTCGACAACCCCTCTACACCCAGTTGACAACTCTGCACTGGGTCAACCATATTTGCCCAGTTCCAAATGTGTCCCTATAAATGCAGTTAGGGTTTTGATGAACCAATTTTTCTTGTTCCTTGTTTTATTTTGAAAATTTGAAGATAAAGGATAAAATAGTCTTTTTTGTCTTTTTATTAACCGATGCTAATAGTAAGGGAAGTATTAGTCAATTGTTAGAAACAATAGGGGTAGTGTTAGTCAGTCAATTTTCAAACAGTAAGGGTATACTTAGTCAATTAATTAAATTATAAGGTTAGTTTAAGAAATTTACCCTTTAAAAAATGACTCGGAACCGGAACTGTTCTAGCCACTGGTATCCGGGTCAATGGTTCAAATGGATGGCATGTTCTAACAAAAATAAAATAAAATAAAAAAACAGCCAAAAAACCATTGAATGGGATGAACAGGTCAATGGTTTAATTGCCAGGGTCAACGGGTCATTAACCAATTCAACAGTTTTTGGCTATAGACTTAGTTTGGAGTAAAACAGAATCAGTTGCCTAGATGGTTCCTGGGCCAAACGGTTTGACTGCCCGAATCAATGGCGGTTCGAAAATGTTGGTTTCATGGACTCTTCGATGAAGTTTCCGTGTAGGCACCAACACTCCACGGATTCTGATCAAATTTAAAGAGTTTTTTCCTCATTTTGTCCTCGGAATTATTGGTAGTGAATTATTGTCAAAAACAAAAAAAAAAAAAAAAAAACAATCGCTAGAAAGAATTCTCAAATGGCATGATGCAGCCACTTTGAACAAAACATTTCCAAAGGTTACAGTGGAATGACCAATGGAATCGGTACATATAAACTACTCGGTTGAACCATCAAACTGGTGGCCTGAATAACTTTGTGGTAGCGACGTCAGACTCAGTTTTTGAAAGGTTGGTTTTATCCAATTATATGCCATCATAGACTTTCCTGTAGGTTTCTTATTCACCTTCCAAAGACGAGACAAAGTGCCACCCAGAGACCAAAACCAAGTCTGGACAGACCCATCCTATTAGTCTATTGCTTGTATTTAGTTTCACCTTTCTTACTCTAATGGGCATAGTAGAATTCAATACTAGAAGCAATCAAGCAATAAGTAAAGGTCCCTTTCCTTTAGATTGGACTACAATGTGAAGAAACGGAATTATTTTATTTGGGGGAGAATTGTTTGATTGAGCTATAGATCAAAGGTCATATATGGACCAGCTTTGCTCTGTAGAAAGTTGTATATATTGCTCGATTGTTTAATTAATCCTCCCACTTCTTTTGGTGGAGGAGCATTTGGATAGACGATATTGCATATATGATGTTTTGTGTTCTTTCCACGTCAAGATTTAATCCATAGTTCAAGTGGTTTACCAAAACTGTGAAAAATAGGAGAAATTTATACTTCAAATCGGAACTAACTATCTCCACCAATGCTAAGCAGTAGTTTCTTTCTTCTGCATTGGTGTATAGTAACTTGACTTCTACAAAAGTGAAGTTTGGATACTAATGTGGATTAAACACAAGTGAACAAAGCAAAGCGTCTGTAGTGTAGTGTGTACTAATGAAATAGTCTTATGGGAAAGTGTTATGTTAAACCACAGATAGATATAATAATAGAAATGTCTAAATCATGGCCTGCTGGAAAAGAACTTTTGTCCAACTTTTTTCTGACTGGTTTCAGACTTTAAGTCCTCGGGGTTTCGTGCTAAAAATTCTGTTTCCATTCAATACTTATTGGCCAATGTATTAATTAAGTAATAAGAAACATGTTAATCCATAAATTATTCATACAAGTTACGAACCTTGAGAATATCTTCACAAACAAAACCTTCAATGAATTGTTACAATAAGAAACACACACAATTGTGACTACATGTGGTTGGTTACATCAATCTTATTTCAGCCATTATTCAGTTCTCTATCCATTGTTAAATTATGGACACTTTGAATTATTTCTTACTATTTCAATTCCATGCCCCAAACCATCATCCCCTATGAATGCAATGTGAACAGTGAACTCATATTTCTACATGAAGTACAATTCTTTCTTTCTTTTTCTTGTCGATCATGACCCAACTCTGGATCTCAACTTGCCACGTGGCTTAAACCAGAGAATTCAAAATTCAGAACCAGCCTTCAAGTGGCTTCGCCATAGTTTCAAATGTCTGTGAAATTTCATGAAATTTCGGTTTTGGATTACAACCATCATAATGAAATATGAAATAATGAAAATATCCAAAAAAATGTCTAAATTTTCGAAATTTTGGTCATTCGTTTCATCTGAAATTTTTGAATGTATTATTAAATTAATAAAAATCCATATTTTAAATATCACAAAAAAAAAAATCATCCTAAGTTCTGGAATTTCAAAAAAGTTCATCAAAGACCAAGAGTTCGAAATTGCCGAATAATTAGTGGCCATACCTTCAAGTAGTAATTCAAAATTCATGATTTGTTTCTTCTAAATTCTAATTCAAATATGGGACCCATTAAAATACTGGCCGCGTTTACATGAACAATGGACTCGCTGGGGCCGTGTTCTCACCGCCACCGCCCACTAGTCCACTACGAGGTTACCGCGTTAGAGACATCTCTGTTGCTCCAAACTCCAGGCTCCGTAGTCTATTAGACTCTTAAGCTACAAGTAAGCGCCCGTTTGGGAGAGGTACAGCTTATGGCACAGTGGCTTTTAGCTTGAGGTGGGCTCTCCCTCACACCAACGGCCTATAAACTATTAATTATGTTTGGTGAAAATTCCGGAGAGCCTAAATCGGTGGTCGTCATTGTCCATCTGAGAGGGCTGAAGCACAACTTCTTGCGTTTCGGGTACACACGAGACCGGATCTGCTATTCACACAGGGCGCCTCACAATGACTTCACAGATTGGTGTGAGACGTCCTAGTGAGGAGCAGATCCCAATTCCGTGTACACAGGCAGCAAAGTCATGTTTGGTGAAACATCCGGAGAACCCAAATTTGTTGTTTACAGTCATAAGTACTGTCTGCATTGGTTTCTTTAGATAGCTTATCAGAGGCATTTCAATAGAGCTGAACTGACTTGGCTAAAAAAAAATACTGACAGGTCAATTTCTCATCTAATTAGATTAGCTGAACGTCCTAATTGTGTAGCAGGTTGTGAATAATATTCTACACCAATAATAAAATACAAGGGCCTACGGTGAAATATTGAATGACTGTGTTAGGAGTTATCATTGGTTTCACAGTTTGCTTAATAGCCATTGCCTTTAATTTAAATCTATCATCAAACATTACTTAAGGATGTGTTTGGTTTAATATAAGAAGTAGAGAAAGGTAAGAAAATATTTACGAACCTTGTATGGATTTCCTTATCTTATCTTTTTCTTCAAACCAAACATAACCTAAAGGCAACCGAGTGGGGGCTCAATTGATATGTTAACTAAGTTGTCCCAGCAGAGATGGAGATTTGAATCATGCTACAGCTACCACCTACTTCAGAGAAGATTTGTTAGAGCGTTGTTGGCTTGCTGTACCATGCGACTATGCCCAGTAAAAAGAATTATGCTATGCGACCATGCCCAAGAAAAAGAATTATGACCCCTATGGATAGAAATGCAAATGAATTGAATCAGATTTGAATTAGGGTATATCCGAATCCGATCCAACACTGTTAATTACAGATTCGATCTGATCCGAAAATTCAATTAGATATGATACACATGAATCTGAATTCGAATCTGATTGGAAAGTTGGATATTCGAATCTGATCCAATCCAATTTGTTTTCTTTAAAAATCAATAAATTATTAAAAGAAAAATAAAATATCCCGATTTAAATAAAAAAAAAACAAAAATACAAGTATTTTTTAATTATTTTTATTATGGATATACATATTTTTTTATATAAATAATATATTTATAAATAAATAAATAGTATATATTATATATTTATATAAATATATATATATATATATTGGATCGGATCTTCTGGAATCAAATAGGGGTGATCCGAATTCGACCAAATAGAATCCGATCCGATCCCTTTGCACCCCTACCTATGGGGGACACAGGCATACAATGATACAATTAACCAAGAAAAAAAAAACTTAAAGGCTGTTTGTGTAGGATTCACCTCAAATTAATGAATTTAATTTGAGGGATTCACTTCTTCAGCCTCGTTGAATTATCGGAGGGCCTCAAAATAGCTGGACAAGCTTAACTGAAACTTGGATTAAATCCTCCCTCCAAACAGACCCTAAGTCCGAAAGCGTAAAACAAACGACTGTGATGATGATGATTGATGAGCCCTTCACTCGTTCGTCTTGGTTATCAGTCATCATGTATAAAGGGCAAACGGACTATTCAGCTGATTGTTGGGTTCAGGCACGGACGGACGTCTTCAAAGGTTCTTGAGGAACAGCAATCAGCAGACGCAGCGCAAACATGGGCAAGAAACTGGACGCTCTACTTGGAAGAACCTTCAAGGCGTCCAAGTTCAAAGCTCTTGTTAACCTTGCCATCTCTCGCCTCGCCGTGCTGAAGAACCAGCGTGAGGTCCGTGGCTCCCAAGCCCGGTCAGACGTCGTCCACCTCCTCAACCTCGGCCACCATGAACGTGCTCTCCTTCGGGTAACTTCTCAACCCTCTCTCTCTCTCTCTCTCTCTCTCTCTCAATGACTTGACGTCTCGTGTTACAGGTTGAGCAAGTGATCAAGGAGCAGAACATGTTGAACGTGTTTGTTATGATTGAAGGATACTGCCATCTCTTGATGGAAAGAGTCGTCCTCATTGAGAATAACAAGTCAGTTTCCCTTCTATAACTCTAATAAATTCTCATCTCTTGGCTTAGGATCGAGATCAAGGCTTCAGTTTTCGTCTTGCTCATTACTAACATGTATTCACTTACAAACGTCCATACAGACAATGCCCTGATGAGTTGAAGGAGGCGATATCAAGCTTGATTTTTGCTGCTTCCAGATGTGGGGAGTTCCCGGAGCTCCAAGAGCTTCGTGCCATCTTCACATCAAGATTTGGCAAGGAATTTGCTGCCCGAGCAGTCGAGTTACGCAACAATTGTCAGGTGAATCCTAAGGTAGGGTGTGTTTAATTTGTTCATTTTAAGCTTCCCATTTCTGCTTTCTTCTCTCCGAACGAGTCATTTCTCTTTCTCTGGATTTTGTAGATCATACAGAAGATGTCCACACGACAGCCAAATTTGGAGAGCAGATCGAAGGTGCTAAAAGAAATTGCTTCGGAGAACGGGATCAGTCTTCATCTCGAGGAAGTTTCTTCTGATACGAACAAAGTGATCATATTATGTTTGTAAATAATAAAGTAATTGTATTATATTGTTTGCTTTAAGTATTAAACAGGCACTTTAATCTTGATATGTGATGACTGATGATTGCAGCAAGAGAGAATGGACCAGGAACAGAAGCAGAACCATCACAAGCCTGACTTTTCTGCTAACCTGGAAGGTGCTAAGCTGGAAGAGAACATACATAGTTGGACCGATGATATAGAAAAGGATGAGCAATTTTCTGGATCAATGAGAGCAAGGAAGAAATACAGAGATGTTGCTACTGCAGCTCAAGCTGCTTTTGAATCCGCAGCTTTTGCGGCAGCTGCAGCAAGAGCCGCCGTGGAACTCTCCCGGTCTGAATCCCATGACAAAGATCCCGATGACCATAGCGGTTCTACTCCTCGATGGAGGAATGAATTATATACCGATGGATCGTCCAGAGCTGAAGTTGGGGTTCCCAGTGGGAGTTCTACTGCAAGGGAGGATGAAGTTGAACGGTTGACTGCTGAGTTGGCTTCTGAGAAGATTCATCCTGTTGATGATTCTGGTTCTCAATCGGAAAGTGAAGAACTTAAGAGCAACTATGGGAAAATTAATCCAGAAGAATTCAAAGAGAGTAAAAACAAATCGGAATTAGAGAGATCACCATCTGATTCCAGTGCGGACTCAGATGGTGATGATGAGGGAAGGACTGAACAAGGTGCAATTCTATGGGTAAGGCACTCTTACCTAGGTTTTAATTGGAAGTCAAGATTGCCAGAAGTTGGAGCCCCAAAAGTACGAAAATTGAATGCCACGAGCAATGAATCTTACTCAGAAGACAGTAGCGGTGGTAAGCTTGATTTTCCAACCCAGAAGAGCCCACTAAAGTACCAATCTGATCTGCTTATGAACGCAGAGATAAGTAAGTCAGGATCTGGATATGAAGATGTTCCCATGTCATATTCTGGTTTAGGAACATCTCGGTTTGAAACTACGCATAAACTGGATTCAGATGGGCAAATCTCTCCACATGATCTGAACATAGAAAAGAGGCCCGTCTCTGTGAGGACCAGAGGTACATATCGGTGGTAAGACCTAAGACGTAAACAGAGTAAGAGCCAATAATTTGTTCTAGGGGCTTCAAATATTCAGTTATGGTCTATTGTGACTTGCGGTATGGAGCTTTGTATTATCTGTAACATTTATGAATATGTGAAGTTTAATGTGAATGCTTTGCAAGGATTTGCATCGTTTAGATGGTGACAATAGTTTGGTCTATTTGCGAATATGGAGCTTTAGTCATGGCCAAAATAAGCACCCATTACCAACTCAGACTGTCCACATATTGACACAGCCACGATTGGTCATGGCCCAGAGATTATTCCATTAAGACACAAAAGAAAATCCCAGCTAATAGCGAAGAAAACAAAGAAAATCCTAGCTGTTGCAGAGGAGAGAAGTAGATTAACATTGTTTTGACTTTTGACATTCAAGGATCAACAGGATATTGTTAATTCCAAGCTTTGGTCCATACAAAGCAGGTTAACATTGGAAAGTCTCAATTAAACCATTAATCACCAATACAAATATAATTCTTTATGATTGTAGAGCGGGGCTTAATATAAGGATAGTTTGGAGAATGGATACATGATACTGGTCTGTAAATTTTTTCCCCCTCTTCTGAACCCCAAAAAGCATGTATTATGGCCTTGAGGTATGCCTCAACATTCTAGAATCTAGTTCTACCCTACCCTTCAGCACTGCTATGTTTTGAAGATTATGAACTAAGTAATTAACAGAGACAGGGATTCAGGATGGAGAACCCTAGAGCTATTCAAGCCATGCAAAATATACATGGAGCTGAAGCAGATACTTGGGTACACTAGGAAACCTATACACTTGAATCCCTTGATGGAGTAATATAGCATAGCAGATGAAAATCATTGGCCTCTACCACGCTTCTTACCCTGTTGCACTAAATCACATAATGATTGGAAACTCACTCCAACATCTTCATCATATTCAATTCCAAGTTCCTCCTGAAACAAGTTAGCACCAGTTGTAAAAATCTTGCCATGAGACTAAGTATAGACACATAAAAGGACAAGGAATATAAAGTCAACCTTGAATTCTTTAAGGTCCTTGGGAGAGTTCTCAGTAATTGCATCCCATAGATCTTTGAACATCCTTTTACGCTTTCTCCATTGGCTGATTTTCTCCAAATAAATCTCCTCAACCATCTTCCTTTCTTCTGGTCTCACCAAAGTGACACCTTCTCGCAATTTCTTCAGTTTTCTCTCCATTTCCTCAACCTGATAAATAATGAGAAGGTCCCACAGGTTATCTATATTTGTTTGACATATCTGAACTAGATGACTTCAAAAGATATTGGATACCAATGTATGCCTTACTTCAGCTCTTAGTTTAGCTTCTTTGGCACGTATTTGTTCAAGTGTTAAATTTGACTGCAAGGCTCTAATTTCTGAAACAAAACAAGATGCAACAAGAGTATGTGGTCACACAGCAACAAGACTGTCTTATACTCTTCGTTTCAAATGCCTAAGTTAATGCAATAGCAAAGTCAAGAAACCAATTAGCAATAAACAAGTTATTGTACATGCAATCCTACAACTTCAGTGGATTAACCAAGAGAATATGAAAAAGAATACCTGCTTCAACCTCACTAACTGCTTTCTTTCGATCTTCCAAATCTTGTTGCAGTTTGGCATTTTCTTTTTTCATTCGATCAAGCTCCTCACTGTTGGGAATGTCAAACTGATCTTGCCGAGCAAGGTATACCTTCTGCTTGCCATATTCTTTGAATGAAATTCGACCACTTTCAGAGAGAGAATCCAATGCTTTTTGAACAGCTGTCTTTTTAAGATTGTACTTTTGTAAAGCATCAGCAACATTTTGAGAATTTAGTGGTCTGTTTTGCTGAAGGGAAAAAGAATAAAGATGTTAATGCAAGAACAATGCAACTTAAATAATAGTATCACACAGTCACACAAGGATTTTCAACTGCTTCACTAGAGCAGGAAAATTACTCTTAAATGGTTGCATGATGGAAAAATATTTGAACTTATGAAGTACTCTTGCTGATAGAATAAGTTCAAACTTCATGCTACATCTTTTTCATTTCCGGGTACAAAGGAAAAATAGGCTACACAACACAGGGACAGAAGAACCCTAGCAATCCATCAAAGAGAAATAACAAACATCCTTGGGAAATATTTCATACTACATCTGAATAGGTATAAACTGCCCTTTGTAAGTTGAAGACAAAAAAAAAGTTCAGTATTAATCCACCACAAAAGCACAATTTCAGGTGGAACTAATTTCACCTATAACTCATTCCAGATCCGGACATCTGGAAGCCACTGCAACTGAAATCATTTCATTATAGTCTTCCCCTGGCAATGGATATGACCATCATCTAAAATCAATGCATTAACTGTATACAGAAACTAGAAATGATCTTTCTTTTATGTCCTAAAATAACTATTTCATTGCACAAATCCACTTCAAATACTGATGAGCTCATGCTCTGAAATGTTAATAAAAGGTTCAAATGAAATGGTTTTATTCCATTTTGTTTCCAGCTGCCCCACAACTATCTAATCCAATTTAAGACCATTGTACCAATATTGGCCCATATTCTGGAATACTGAAACATAACAATCCCAAGCTATTTGACACTAATTAATATTAAGGCTGTCATTGCATATGATTATACGGTTTATCTTATCTTCCACTCCGTCTACTTTCTCAGTACAGTAAGATTACTAAAAATTATCATCGTCTATGCCTTATCCCAACTATATGGGGTTGGCTTGTAAGATTACTAAAGATACTTAACCAAATTTCCCCATGACATGCCAGTCCTCACTAGGCAAAAAGAAGACAACCTCTTATTAAGAATAACCATTAGAAGGCTCTGAATCTACTATGGAATAGAAAAGGAATTGTCATATTTCATGAGCTTGGGTATCGGCTTCAACTCTCCAAAAGTTTAGGATAAAGCGTCCCCTCATGTAGTCAACACCTGTTGAACTCTTCATACATGCAGTAGAAGAAATTTTTACAAAAGTTCCGCTGTAACAGACTGGAGAAGCATTAGAACTGACAAATAATGAAAAGCAATGCTTCATCCAATAAATGATTGTAGAAATGGAAGAGGATTCAATCCACCAATATGTTCATATACTAATTTTTTTGGATCTAATAGTATTGCATCCACATCTTGCTCCACCGGAATTCAAATATTAAGCTGCATCATGAAAATAGATAGCTGGGCTATGGTAAGCTACTATTCAAAATGCGTTTTTACTTTTTAGGTCATCCAGCAGTAAAGTCATGAAGTGACAGGTTCTATGAAAAAAAGACATGAACTAAGCAAAACAGATCTAGTAATCAGAACTCCGCAACTCAAACGAACACTCGAGAATTTATAATATAGATTAAGTGAAAACACGAAGAAAAAGGCAAAGGGCCTCATTACGATTAAGAGGTCTACCAGTGGGAAATTCGTTGGAAGATTTACGAGGGGTTCTTACCTCATTTACGAAATTGAGCACGATACCTGAAAATTTTAAATAAGGAACAGATCATTGGTGAGTAACATTACCATAGAAGGCTTCACTGAGTAATCAAGAGAGATTCAAAAATGAATTGGAGCAGAAATTAATAAATGAGATTCAGAAACGTAATGCAACTGCATCGTTGTCCGAAGGAATCGACTTTCAGGAAAATAAATAAAAGATCGCAGTTGCAGGAAAATAAATTAAAATTGGGGAGAAAGAGGGGAAAGTGTTTTGCTATACCTTCAGCACTATCGGACTTTGGTGCCATTTGCAGAAGCGCGGGAAACCTGTTGCTATTTGCGACCCTTTTATCACACGGATCATAGAATTAACAATTAAGGTTAAATTACAGATAACATCCTCTACTTTGGAGTATTGGTACTTAACCCCCGACTTTTCCTTTGCGACAAAGGCCCCCTCAACTTTCATATTCTCAAACTCCGTAACACTTTTTCTCGCACAGTTGCACTCCGGTTGTTTGCGAGTTGCGACAAAGGCCCCTGAAGATCTGCTACCCACAAAATGTTCCTAATATGAATACGTAGCTGTTATAAATTTATAAGCCGTGGGTAAAGAAGTGAGAACTGAGAACAACTTGTGCCTTGTGGGTAACAGATAAGAACCCGAATGCACATATCTACAACTGCAAATGGATCTAATCCTATTCGATATGGGTAGATCGGATCCAAATTTGATTCATTTATAATCGAATTCAAATAGGATAATCGGATTTTATATGGGATTCTAATCGAATCCGGATTGCACTAGTATATTGAAAAGTATAAATAAATTAAGCAAAAAAGTAATCGATATATTATATTTATTAATAAAAATTGACTTTGATACGTATTTCATGAAAAAAATGATTTTTTGGCTATGAACAAAATGAAGGGAAAAATGAATCCAAATTTAATTGTATGAAATTTGAATTTATTATAATTTAGTAAAACTATAACATACTATATAAACTTCATATATATATATATATATGAGAAATTATATTTAAATCGAATCATATTGAATTATATCAAATCAGATAAAGGTGGAAATTTGTTTCAACACTCGTGGCTTCAGTGTCTGGTTGCTCTTTCCCAGGTCATTTCTGATAAAAATGTTCTGATGATGATATTGAGCTTGGAATGAGAGATGTATTAAAGATAGGCAGGTCCTTGTGCATTGGATTGTGATGAGAATGGAGGAAGCTGAACTTCAAACAATCTATCAAGGAGTCATTTTTTGCTAAGCGATTTGCAACGACCATATTCTTATCTGCTCGGACTCCCTGATGGTTATTCAAGCGCTCTAAGATCATGCATCTCTTCCTTCTTCTTGCTTTTAGCTTTTAACTAAGACCAAGAAACTTTTATTGAGCTTATCTTCCTTTTCTTTTTGTTATGTAAATAGAAAGTTTAACGCCCTGGCTCATCCTATAGCCCAAAAAGCTAAAACTATGAATCAGGACTTATTTTCTCTCTTTGTATCCGGATGTAAAGGACTATATCGACTTTTCTGTGGTTGAATAGATCCTTTTATTTATTAAAAAAAAAAAAAAAGATAGAGGTGGAAATTATAAGCAGACAAACAGATACCATTTGCAGCCCTACCATAACATAAGAGCATAGACTGATGAATGGAAATGTAGGAAATGTCGATCCTATCGTTTGAGCCCTTTGGGTGGGGGTTGACGCATTAGAGTCTATCTCCTCTCAGCAAAAAACCCATTACAAGACGTTCCAACATGATCAATGTCCACGCATCTCGTACAGGTCTGGATCACCTACCAATAAAATACATTCCAACACTCTCCCAACATGATCTAACACTGCATATTTCATACATGGTGGGTTTCAGTCTCATGGTGAGTGTGCTGTGTCAGATCATGTTGGGAGAGTGTTGGAACATATTTTATTGACAATTGATCCCAACTCATCTTGTACATGGTTGGTCTAAGTCTTGGGACATAGATCATGTTGGAAGAGTATTGGGACAATTTTTGTTGGAAGAAGATTCCAGGTCGACATATTACAGTCCATTTTATTACAACTCATAAATTAGTTAAAAGCTTATGGTCTGTTTGGTTTGTAGTTGGAATTGGAAAAGGAATCAGAATCGGAATCAGAATGATCTATTCCCATAGTCTGCTTGGTTCAGATAGAAATTAGAATGAAAGTTAGAATTAGCAGGAATGGGATTTCATTCCCAAAGGAGGGGGAGGGAATGGCCATTCCCTCAAATGGAGAAATGCCAATCCACTAGGAATGGGAATGGTATTCCGATTCCGCCCAAACAAACAATTGGAATTGGAATAACCCATTCAGATTCCAATTCCAGGCCCCTGTTCCTGTGAACCAAACGGGGGGTTAATGCATAGTTTGAAAAGCTAAGATTAATTGATTGATCTTAAAGATGTCATTTTGATGGCTTAAATTTTTGGCTTATTTCGTAGGTCATTTTGATAGTTTAGATCTTAAATTTGATACTTGACTTGAATGGCCAAAGATTGGTCCAAGTTTTCTTACATTGAATTGATGGCCAATATTTGCAGAAAAAAAAAAAATCGATAACCGATATTAATTCTTCACTCTAAGGCTATTTAACTGTTTGGTTTGATAGAAAATAAGAGAAACAGAAAATCAGAGGGAAAGTTCTTAACAAATTTCAGAAAATTCTTTTAAGAACCTTCCCTTTACTTGTTATTTTTCTATTAAACCAAATATAACTCTAGGAGACCACTTTGTAAATCAAACCCTTCAAGTATAACAAATGAGGGATCAAGCAACTTACCCTTTGCAATTAGACTGCATCGAGGGGTTTCTCGTTGCCAAATCACGCTAGCCCTTGGCAATCCAACAGTGATCATTAATCCAAAACAATATGATTTTGCTTATGCGGTAGGATAAATGATCACTGTCGGATTGCCAAGGGCTAGGGTGATTTGGCAACGAGAAATTAATGGAGCATCAAAATGAATTCAGTGAAAGAGAAATTAAAGCAACAGTCTTGGGATAAGGTCGAGCCATTATCCTATTGATGCTTTGGGCTCAGTTTGGAAGGAGTACAAATAGAAATATGTAGAGCGCAAAACCTTGTCTTTTGTATGTATTTGCAATGTACATATTTGTATCTATATTCTTTCCAAACTGAGCCTTTAATTCCAAATAATGGAGTAAATCATTTTAAAATGGAGTAGATTATTAGTATTAACAAGGCCACACCTACACGGAATATGAAAATGGAATATCAAGTATTATCAGTGATTAATGAGAAATCCAGTAAGGCAGTAACAACTAACAAGAACATTTCTGCTCTCTTAAATGGATGCTGCATTTGTAAAATGGCTAAGCATCTATTCGTCATTTTAATTTTTAATAAAGAAGTTGCTTTCAACTCAAAGGGAGATCTGGAAGTTGCTGTTCCAGTGATCTAGTTGAATGCAAAGTAATTTGCAAAAGAAAATGTCTAGAAACACTAAAAAGTACCAAGAATAATGGACAACTGTTGATTCCAATTGGGTGATGAACAGAAATATAAAGCAGTGACACAAGAAGTACCAAAACTAACAACTGCCTTTGAATGAAGAATCCTCTAGAGTAAAGATTGCCCTACCACTCTGAACCATTTATAACACAACTCCAGCAGAGTTTCGAGTTATACACAAAGGTTAACATATCCCAAAAAGACACCATTTGCATAGAAGAAATGAAATTAAAGAATAGCCTTGTAGAGGGAAACAACTCAAACAAGACAACCCAAAGAAAGAACTACAAGTCTGCTTTCCAGTGGATACAGATTCCTCATCATACTGTAGCCCCTAACTGACAAGGCTTAAACCAACATAGGAATATATAACCCTAGGTACGTATCAATCAAGAACAGCAAAAAATCTCACAGTACACTTCCACACACATGGAGAAAGAGATTGCAATGAAGATGGAGATCTGACGATTACTGTCTAGAACATTGCACAGAGCATAAATTTGAGATAATTCTTCCCCTAAATATTAAGAGGGTCAACCTTGGGGGTTTTATCCACATGCAAAAAGGATAAAAATAAAATAAGATTTATATCATAAAACCATATGAACTTCCATGAACCCATTCCCATAGAAATATCTAACCATGAACAAGAATGCTTATGGTCTTATGATAAGATCCGCACCATATTATTGTTCTGGAGGCAATCTGATTATGTTGGAAGGTGAAAAGAAAGCTTCAACAGAAAGTTGGTTGCTGAAGAAAGAAGTAGTTGTATTAGCAAGGATAATAGATGATTTGCTTATGAAACTCTATAGCAGTGAACTCCACCCCTTCTATTTGATTTCTATTTTACATTAGAGATTTTTTATGAAATTGTAGAAAGTGACTTTTTTCAGGATCTGATGGACAAAGCATATGACATCCCTTTGAGAAGAAACATGCACCAATACATCTCACGCTATAGTGCCCAGATACAGTATACAGATATGGACACAGACATGGATAGAGGAAATGGGGATATGACTCTCCATTTCCTAAAACTTTGGATACAGATAGAGTAATGGGTATCCTATGTGTAATATGCTTATATCATGCATATTTAAATGTCATTTCTCAAGATTTATGTCTTGCCAAATTTAATTAAATTCCTAACACATGAAGTGCAGATATTTTTATAGAATCATATGTTAAAACATACCACTTTACTTCATTTAAAGTGCTAATGATATAGAGTACATCTAGAAGTATCCAGGCAGTATCTGTTATTGTACCCTATGAGTATCTAGATGTAATGTAAATGTAGAATATAGAAAATACACTGAAAATTATTAAATTAGCAGCCTAAAATTATTCATTGGTTGGTCACTTGCTCAATATCCTACTCTAATAGTTCAATTAAAAAGGCATGCCCAAGTACATGGCATTTTTCTTTTATGAATAATTATAGAAGATTTAGGGACAGAACTGCAACATTTTCTGGGAAAGGAAATGGTATTAAAATCTGCAAAAATACTTTCAATAACTTTCCAAACAATGGAATTCATCAAAGAAACATATACCTTGTTCGAGTTCATCTCACATGAAGGTCAAAGAGTATGCTCTGGGGAAAAGAAGTTTTTTGCACTTCTACATTGAATACCTTCCAAAAGACCCTTACGTGGGTTGTAAAGGCATCCACTACATCCTTATACAAACAAATGACATTGACTGCTTCCTCACTGAGTGGTGGGGTGGGAAGAAGGGAGAAAGTGTATTGCTACATGCAAGAAAAAGAGAACTCAAAACATGCAAGTGTGTTATATAAAGTTGACTTTACCAAGCTTAATTCTTTTTCTTGGTTTGCTCTCCAATAAGTCTTCCATTATATCATCTTCACGTAGATCACTGGAAATGCATCTGAACACATTCTCAAACATCTGCACTCATCTTAAGATTCTGTTCTTTGCCTTCAAATTCAAGGAATTAAATGTAACAAACTTGGGGGGCTAACCATTGAGTTTTGGGACACAATTACTTTATACCAGATAGCTTCTGCCTCCCCCTCCCCCCAAGTTGAATTCTAAACATAACTCTGTCATAAAGAAGAACAATAACCACAAATGCCATGATATTATTTGCACTTTTGAGATAAAATGATTTTTTGCAGAATAACCACCACCTATGAAGTAATACATGCCGAAAATAGAAGACCTAAAATAGCCAACTTCATATATTAGAACCAAATCTTAAGACCTCTGCATTGCCAAAATATAGAAAACTTGTGTTAAGAAAATGATTTCATTAAAAAAAGGGAAATATAAATAGCCCTAACAACTACAGTGTTATAGTTTACATAAACACAAAAATTCAATAATGCATGAGAATAATCTACAAACACAGACATGTGCTGAAATAAATATCCCTTTTCACGAAATATAAGTTATGATAAATTGCCGCCGCTTTGCTGCCACAAATTGATGATGTCAGTAGCCTGATTAAGAAGGATAATCATCCTCTTCTGAGATATCCATGGCTTACTCTCCAACAGGGACTTGAGCTCTTCCCAAGCATCCTTCCTCGGCCAAAAATAGTAAGGACTTAGAGGAATGGTCCCATGGCCTGGTATCTTCTGGTCAAGCGCAAGACCAATGTTCTTCTCCATCCAAACGAACTTCAATACAAGTCTCGGTTTCTCCATCGGTTTCACAACCACTCCAAGCTTCTACAAATTCAACCAAACGAGAAATAAAAAAGAATGAATCACGAATAGAGAAGGGACAAAATTGTTAAATTGATGGATGCAAAGAGAGAGAAGGGGAGAGGAAGGTAGTTATAGACCTCTTTTTCTTCAAAGGGTTCGGATTCTTGTGGCGTTGTAGAGGCTGAGTCCTCAGTGGTTGCTTCTTCTTCAATGGCTTCAGCTGCAGAAGCTGAAGTGGATAGTCTCAGTTGTTTTCTGTTGGGTCTCCGTATTAAGTGGACAAGCGGCGATAGATGTAAAGAAGCGGGCTTGGGGTTGAAGGAGATTGAAGCATTAACGGGATTGAAACCAAATTTTTGAGGAAAGGAGGAGCGTGTGAGAGCGAAGCCATTAACACCAGGTTGAATCGCCATCGATAACATCTTGAGTGGAGAGAGAGAGAGAGAGAGAGAGAGAGTTTCTATGTAGAAGTAGAAGAAACCATGGTCTTTCACAGGTTGTGTTGCGCTTTGGCGAGTTCCCGACTCTGGATAAGGCACCAAGGGGTCAGAGAGTCGGGGGGTGTTGCTATTTTTAGTTTTAGTGACACTTCAGAGCCGTTTTCTGAAGCAACGATGTTTTCTGGAGAAAGGCACCGGTTTTATTTGGTACTATAATTGTTTTCGGCATTGATCCACATATCATGATGTTATGACATGGTACAGTTGGCAACAAGGATTCTGAAAATAAGAAAACAACAAATTCAACGTTTACTCGAGCCATGCTTTTCCAAATTCCAATGCATAGCCATTTTCCAGAATAACGGTTCCAAACGAGGCTGTGTTTCTTGGCACACCGTTTTTCTGATGTGGCGCAGATGTGGAATCGTTTTCTAAACCATGCCAAACACCGCCTTAGTGTGCTGGACTGCTGGATCGGGCATGATTGGAATTTGAGAAATTAAGGGTCCGTTGGCGTTTAATTCACAATCGGAATCAAAATCAGGATGATAGGTGATGGTGCACAATCCGGTCGATCCTAACTGTCAATGACTTTGCCTCTGACTTGAGCAACAGGGGGGCTTGAAACGGAGAAGAAAGTGGGGAATCTCTGGGGAGGAACCCGGTGAGATCACTCTAAAGCTCAAGTTAATATTCTCTCAAAGGCAAGATAAAACCAGATGGCGCAAAGTTCACATACCTTGTCCTCGGGGGGTAGAGAGCCTTTTATAACCACTTCGCGCACTCACTCCTAGGCTCTTGTCAGGTCGGGTATGATTACTTATGTGCTTCTGCCAGTTCGGGTGTCATCACCTCTGCTGAGACAGAACCGCCACTGCTCTTTGTCAGAGCCGTCTCTGTAACTGAAGATGGCGGTGGCAGGTGGCCGTTGGAGTGCGGCTGTCAAGCGTCAGACCCCTAAGTCAGTCAGGTACGCCACCCCTAGATACGGACTCTTTCGGTGTTAGGTACGGTGCGGTTTGCCTAGTTCGGCGTCCTAGGGGCAAAGTGCTGGAGTGGTGTGCGAGGTGAAGTCTTGAGTTCGGACAAAGGTGTGGCCCGAACTGCCGTGGGGCAGGCCAGTTCGGGTTGTTGCCCTTTGTGTTCGTAAGGCTCGGGGCCTAAGGGAGAGCTCGGTCTCCTTACTAGGAGTTCGGGTTCCTTGCAGGGAGTTCGGACCGCTGGTTCCTCCTTTCGGAGCTCGCGCCTTGGCGAGCTGTTGTGCCTGTTACCTTTGCCACGTATTGAGTGGTTACGAGGTCGGGCCAAATCTTCCTTCATCAATAAGGGAATGCCATTCCATAAGAAATGGGAATGAGATTTCAATTCCGTCCAACTGATTAGTTGAGCCATTCGGATTCTAATTCCAAACCTCTAAACGGGCCCTACGTTTGAGTAGTGCAGCTGTGCAGCATTGTGTTTAAATGAATTTTCAATTAAGTTTAATAGGTAATATTTAAATTTTATTAATGTAATTATTTTTGAATGGATTTTAAATTAATAAGAATTAGTTTTAAAATTTTATTAGTTTATTCATTAATTTTTGAAATTTACAATCATATATTGATTATATTTTCCATTTTAATTAAAGTTTTTTTTTTGGTTTCATGGAGCTATAGAACAGGGTAGCCCATCCCCCTCCCTTAATCGTTTAACCCTTGTGGCACGAGATTAATGTTAATTAATTATTATAACATTATTTATATGTTAAATATATTTGGATTTGTCTATATTTATCTATAAAAGTACTAATAGGTGTGGTTGGGTTCTAGAATTTTCACTAGACTAAAATACCCCATCTTGAAGGTTTGAATCAGTGAAGAGCAGTGGTAAATATGTAATTTTGTTTTTTTCATTTAATGCTTACTTATTACAAAAAGACACAAAAGTTCATTCTTTTTGTTCATAATTATAAAACAAATCAGTGGCTAAAATGTTATCTAACATTCCCATTTAATGCTTCTTAGGGAAAATACACAAAAGTCCCTCTTTTTGTTTAATAATTGGAAAACAAACCATGGTAATTGTTGAAACTTACCTTAAAGTTTTTTACCCTTGCCCCCACCTCCCCTAAAGTTTGGTAATTACAATCACTTCCCTAAACTTTTTGACACTGTTTCAAATAGACCCCCTTTGTAAAATCCTCTAACAAGAGACATGAAAATGTCCAAAATACCCATGTATTATTATTGAAGCTGGTTTATACATAAAAAACAATATAAACATTATGAACAACAAAAAAAGAGAGCTTAAAGTTGCAATTTTACCTTTAAGCAATTGATTATGAAAGACAAATTTGGAAATACATCAGTTTTGAAAAAGAGATTAGAAGGAATTGAGGTAGTGATTGATATGAAGCAAAGATTGAAAAATAAACATTTTGGTCAAAAGTAACTACGGGGTATTTTGGACATTTTTATGCTATTTGTTAGAAGATTCTAACAAATGGTCTACTTGCAATTATGTCAAAAAGTTCATGGGAGGTGATTGCATTTACCAAACTTTAGGGGGGTCAACAATGATCAAAAATTTCATAGAAGGTTTTAGCAATTTACCCTTTCATTTATTTAAATTAAAAAAAAATGGAAATGCATCTTATGTTCTCAATATCCAATGTTGAATCACATTAACCACCATGAAAATATTTCCAACTTACAAATGGATGAACAATTTATTCTTTAAACTATTTTCTTGTTTTTAAAATTTTTTTGATCTATTTTTATTAGTTTAGTTCTTGATTATTAAGGTAGAAAATGATTTTCTCTTCTTTATTCCCACCATATGGTGGGTTAATTTTTCATTTCCGTTACATTAAATCCCACATCCTTGGATGGCAAGATATTTGCAAGAGTAAGTGATATTTTTTTATAGTAATTCATTGTAAGGTTTTCAAGGGTTGAAGGAGCTAAAGTTGGATTTATCATATAGAAGTTAATTCTTGCAAAGGTAACAAGAATTCAAATAAAATTCTGATGAAGTTAAATGATAAAAATTATTAATTTTATTAAAGAACCATAGTAAACAAGAATAATAAAAAATTTATTAATGATAAACAAGAACAATAAGAATTTTATTAATTCTCATTACCTTTGCAAGAATTTTATTTGGACATACCTTTATATTAATGAGCCATAATAAATGTAATAAATAAGAATAATTTTTATAGATATAGAAATATAAAAAATTGAAAAAAAATTAAAAATATATTATGGACTATCATCATCACAAAATTTGTCACGTGCAAAACACATACACAAATACCAGTATTATTTAAAAGGGTATGGTAATTGAACATAATATATAAATAATTATATCTAATCAAATATTTCAAATCTTTATATCTTACTCAATTGCAACAATAAAATCTTGTTTAAGTTTATTTTAATTAATTTTTCTAGGTGGAAAAAAACAAAGTATTAACAATTAATATTAAACGGGTATTGTATTAATTTTAACTAAAATGGGTTTTTTGTTGATTTAATAAGTGATTCGTACAAAGAATGGGTTGTTGATTTGAGCAACGTATGAATCCTATATTCAATACAATTAGTAAAAATGGATTGAACCCATATATACAATAAAGGTCACCGTCCAACTTTCAGAACCCGTATCCAATATGGGTTGGTATTCATATTCACTATTCAGCCTCTATTTTCGTATGCAGTACGATCAGTTCAAAAAACGGATCATACCCCAATTACATATTCTTCTTCACCCGTGAATAAAAATCGGGTTTTCCAAAACCCGATATGTGATTCAATCGGCACTTTGTCATCTTCCATTTTCAGCCTTCCCTGCTAAAAAGAAAACTCAGCAGTTGCATTCCTTTGTAATAAACCTCATCTAGTAGGAGCCTGATTTTTTCAGCAAATTTCCCTACATTAGGGTCATGAATTGAAAGCTTTTTTGGGTAATTTCCTATTATATCATAATTTAAAATCTGTTCCCTGCCTACTTCCCTCTGAAGCCAAATATTCTCTGCTACAGGTCGTTAGAAGGCAATCATGGCCTGTTAAGATTGTCATCATTAGGTTGTTTCGAGTGCTGACGTGGCAAGGCTTGTATGAACAAATCTTCTGTTAAGGAAGGCCGAATGGAATAATAAAGCGAGCTATTACTACTTACATTTGTTTTTTTTTCCTTTTCTATCGTCGTCGCCACCATAGCTCGGGGTAACCCTAGTCTGTCTTCTCGACAACGAGAAAAGATCCGTGACATCTTGGTATCAGAGCTAGCAGTAGCTCGGGACGACCAGATGGCCGGCGTGGATGAACGTCTTGGCGGGCTGGAAAGGACGCAAGAGACCATGCAACGGACCCAAGAGGCTCTGCAACGCACCCAGGAGGCCATTCTCAAGCAACTAGCAGAGATCACTGAGCGACTGAATTGCCTGGGCTTTTGTGCCGATTCCCCCGAGGACTCTAACGCTCGTGGGATGTGTGCACAACTAGGGAGACAAGGAGAAGGATCATCTCAGACCGGAAGTGGAGTGGGGAGACACCAGAAGTTCTGGAAGGTGGATTTGCCAAAATTTAGTGGAACCGGCTTAGAAGGGTGGCCACTACTGATGGGGCAATACCTGAACATTCAGGAGATTCCGAAGGAAAGGTGGGTGACAGTGGCGAGCTTGGGTTTTGAAGGCAAGGTGGTGGAATGGTATAGCTGGTTCAAGGAGTACCAGCCGAATCCTTCCTGGGCACAGCTGGTGGCGGCCATGGAAACTCATTTTATCGACCCACAGGGGAGTAACTATGCTGGGAGGCTATCTAAGTTAAATCAAACAGCAACAGTTCAAGACTACATGGAGGAATTTCAGAGGCTGTCCAGTCAAGTAAAGGGGCTGATTGAAGATTACTTGGTGGGATGCTTCGTGTCGGGGATGAAAACAGAGATACGAGCTGGAGTGGAGAAGCTGGAACCCAAGACCTTAAGCAAGGCTTTCCGGCTGGCCTTACTGGAGGAGGAAGAATGGAACGCACGTAGAATAGCGGTGCAGGTGGAGTTACCCAGAAGCTGACCACCCCTTAGAACTTTAGCACCAAGATCTCTCATTGAGGGGAAGAAGCCCATTCCGCCGGACATTCGGAGACTAACCCCTGCCGAAGCCAAGGA